GCCCCGCATCTCCCCGCTCAGCTCAGCTGCACACTGCTCAGCCCCGCACCTCCCCGCACTGCATTGCACTGCACAGCACAGTCCTGCTCAGCCCCGCACCTCCCCACGTTGCCCCGCACCGCTCGGCTCATCTCAGCTCCACACTGCTCACACCTCCCCGCTCCACGCTGCTCAGCCCCGCACCGCACCGCACAGCCCTGCTGTGCCCCCCGCACCGCCTCGCAGAGCCCAGCACCTCTCTGCTCGGCCCCGCACCGCTTAGCCACGCAACCTCCCGCACCACAGAGCCCCGCATCGCTGGGCCCCGCTCAGCCCCGCACCCCCTTGCGCGTCTGCACGGACCGCAGCCGGGCCAGGAGCCCGCTGGCAGCGGCGGAGGGAAAACGCCCCGCATGCGGCTCGGAACCGCCCCCCTCCATCACTGCCGCCCCCCCTCCCCCGTTACGCGGGGCCGCTGGCGCGGGGCCGGACCGGGGGCGCGGGGCTGGGGCGGCCCCGGGGCCGGGCCCGGCCCGTTGTTATGGCACTGGGGGAAACAGCTGTAAACACGCCTTGGCCGGGGCTCCGCGGGAGCGGCTCGGCGGCCCGAGCATCCCCCGGCGGTACGGACCGGTCCCGGGGCTCCGCCGGCCCGGGGGGCTCCGCGGCGTGGGATAACCCCGGACAAGCGACCCCGCGGCCGGTCCCGCTCTTCCAGGCCGGGATGCTCTGGCACTGCTGGGACGGCCCCAGCCCGCCTGACCTCCCGGTGAACCGGCGCTGCGAGCGGGGGCTGCCCCGGGGGCGGGCAGTGCCCGGTGGGGAGGGCTCCCCGCAGCCCCGGGCCCGGTGCGCCTCGACCGCCCTCTGCTCCCCACCCCGTCGCCTCCGGGGCCGCGGTCGGTGGCCCGCCGGTGGCCCCGGGATGCGCCCGGTGATTGACGGCTCTTTGTTTCCTCCTCGCCGGCCCCACCGGCCCCTCCCCCGTGCGCCACCCCGCCCCGCCGCGCTCCGCTCCGCACCGGCGGCACCGGCGGCACCATGGGGGCACCGGGGGGCCTCGCGCTCCTGGCGCTGCTCCTGCTGGGCGCCGCCTCCGCGGCGCGCCCGGGGCTGCAAGGTATAACGGGGGGTCTCGGGGTGGCGGCGGGGCGGCCCCGACGGGGCGGCGGGACGGGCGGCAGTAGCGGGTCGGCGGCAGCAGCAGCAGCAGCCCCTGTCCCGGGGCCGCTGACAGCGGCTCCGCTCGCCCCGGGGGAGCCGGGCAGCGGGGACACGGGGACATTCATCCCCGGGGCGCAGGGCGGCCGCCGGTTCTGATGCCGGCTCGGGGCGGCGGGGGGGGTCCCTCCTCGAGGGCTGACCGCAGAACCGGAGCTCCTCTCGGTCTGCACGGAGCAGGCGGGCACTCATGCAGCAGCGGGACTGAGCTGTCTGCGCTCCCACCCGAACGCCCCGGGGTCCCGGCCGTCTCTCCGGGGTGTCCCGGTCCAGCCGCCCCTCGTTGGTGCTGGGCGCGGGGGATTCCGTGGAGCGGGATGCGGGGGAGCCCCGGCTGCGGGGCGGGCTCGGGGCCGTGACTCCGCCGGTCCCGGCGGTGCGGGGGCTCCGCGGGTCCCTCTCGGCGGCGCGGCCGGTCCTGGAGCGCCACCGCGCGGGGGCGGCCCCGGAGCCCCCGGGGCTTCCCCGGTCCCCCCGGGGAACGGCGGTCCAGCGTCACCCTCAACACCCCCCCCCCACACACACACCGGGAATCCCCGCGGTCAGCGGCCGCCAGCTGCGGCTGCCGGTGCGGAGGCGACCCCGGTGCTCGGCTCCCGCAGTCATTGACCTGCTGCTGGTGAGCGAGGCGCGGCAGATGGCCAGCGTGGCCCACAAGATCCGCATGGAGCTCCTGACCGTCAACGACGTGTACCTCCTGTCCACCTTCCGCCTGCCCCCCAAGCAGGGGGGGACCCTCTTCGGCCTCTACTCCAAGAAGGACAACACGCGGTGGCTCGAGGTCTCGGTCGTGGGGAAGATCAACAAAGGTGCGTGGGTGCCCCATGCGTGGGGATGGGCTGGTCCTGCTCGTGCCCCGGTGCTCTGAGGGAAACAGGATTGAGTTCCTGCCATCCAAGGGGCTCACAGGGAGGAGCAGGGTGTGCCTGCTGGTCCCAGGGTGCTGCCGGTGCTGGCGGGGGGAGCTGACAGCCCTTTCCCGCTCCTCCGCAGTCCTGGTGCGGTACCTGCGGGAGGACAACAAGGTGCACTCGGTCAACCTGCAGCACGCGCACGTGGCGGACGGGCAGAGCCACTCCGTCATCGTGCGCCTCAGCGGGCTGCGCAGGGACATGCTGAGCATGGAGCTCTACGTCGACTGCAAGCAGACGGACTCCAGCGTGGGGCTGCCCGAGCTGTCCGAGATCCCCCTGGCCGAGGTGGAGGCCATCGAGGTGCGCACGGGGCAGAAGGCCTACCAGAGGATGCAGGTGAGTGCTGGGGGGGACCGAGACCCCCACCACCATGCCCTTGGGGATGGGGAGAGTCCCCCCACGCTGACTGCGTCTCCCCACGTACGTCAGGGGTTCGTAGAGTCCATGAAGCTGATCCTGGGGGGGTCTATGAGCCGCGTGGGGGCCCTGAGCGAGTGCCCTTTCCAAGGAGATGAGTCCATTCACAGTGCAGGTAATGGCTCGGCGGGGCTTACAGGGTTACCTGTGCTCCTGCCTCTCCTGGCCCGGGGTGCCCACACAGGTGGGAGCTCCAGCACTGCTCACGTGCTGATCAGGAGTGGCTGTGTGAGGTGATGCTGCCAGGGTGTGAGGGCGGCATTTGGTAACATCTCGTCTCTCTCCTTGCAGTGACGAGCGTGCTGGCCTCCATCCTGGGTGAGTCCCTGCTCTGCTTCCCCCATTCCCCGGCCTGAGGCATTTGGGGCTCCACGGAGGCAGAAACCCTTCCACAGCCTGTCCCAGTGCCCCACACGGGGTGCATCAAAAGGCATGGGTTGTGTTATGGGGACAGGGATCCTGTGTGAACCAGGGAGGAGAAGAGCAGGCTGTTGACTACCTCGTCCTCCCACCTCAGTGCTGGTGGGCAGAGCAGTCCCTGCCCATGGCCCCAGGGGGCTGTGTCTGTCCTGGGATTGACCTTGTCCTTTCTGCTGCCGGCAGGTGAGCAGACCAAGGCACTGGTCACGCAGCTGACCCTCTTCAACCGGGTCCTGACCGAGCTGCGGGAAGACATTAGGGACCAGGTGGGACAGTGGAGGGGTACTAGCCCTCCCCGGGCCAGATTTCCCTAGAGCATGGTGCCAGCACCCCCTGATCCTCCACGCTCTGCTGCCTTGCAGGTGAAGGAGATGTCTCTGATCCGCAACACCATCATGGAGTGCCAGGTCTGCGGTGAGTGCTGGCGAGGCTCTGCCCCCACCTCGGGGCGGGGGGGGAATCAAAGGGCTGCCTTGTCTCACCCCTCACCTGCCTTTCCTCCCCTCTCAGGCTTCCACGAGCACCGGTCCCGCTGCAACCCCAACCCCTGCTTCAGCGGGGTGGACTGCATGGAGACGTACGAGTACCCCGGGTACCGCTGCGGGCCCTGCCCGCCGGGGCTGGAGGGCAATGGCACGCACTGCGCCGACATCGAGGAGGTGGGCACACTGCTGGGGAGACCAGCAGCCCCAGCACTGCCAGGGCAGTGCAGCCAGAGGATGCTTCCTCTCAGGAAAGGCCCTGCTGGGATGACAGCATCCACCCCGATGCTGTGCCCGAGGGTGAAGCTGGTGTCTCTTCCCGCTGCTGCAGTGTGCCCATGCCAACCCCTGCTTCCCTGGCTCCAAGTGCATCAACACGTCCCCAGGGTTCCGCTGCGAGCCTTGTCCCCGTGGCTATCGAGGCAACACGGTCTCTGGTGTGGGGGTGGACTATGCCAAGGCCAGCAAGCAGGTGAGTGAGGTGCCACAGGACTTAGCTGGGTCGCTGTGGGTGCTCCAGACTGCGGGGCAGGGTGGAGGATGCAGTGCCTGCGAGGACAGCACCTTCCCAGGGGGGCAGGAATGGGCAGGGGAAGGCCCCAGGTGAGGGTTTCTCCCCCGCTGCTCGCAGGTTTGCACAGATATCGATGAATGCAACGACGGGAACAACGGGGGCTGCGACCCCAACTCCATCTGCACCAACACGCTGGTGAGCAGCGCTGTCCCGCTCCCTCCCTGGCTCCCGGGGCCACCTGGCTCCCCTCATCCCACTCCTGCCCTCTCTCCCCTCCAGGGCTCCTTCAAGTGTGGTCCCTGCAAGTCGGGCTTTGTGGGGAACCAAACATCGGGCTGCGTCCCCCAAAAGTCCTGCAGCACCGCCACCGCCAACCCCTGCGACGTCAACGGCTTCTGCTTGTTCGAGAGGAACGGGGAGATCTCCTGCGCGGTGAGCGGGGCACAGGGGTGGGAGGGGGTGTGGAGGTTATGGTAGGGACAGCACTGGTCCTGCCAGGGCCCTTCCCAGCCCCTGACCTCTTCTTTCTTCAGTGCAACGTGGGCTGGGCTGGCAACGGCAATGTGTGTGGGCCAGACACGGACCTGGATGGTTACCCGGATGAGCCCCTGCCCTGCATCGACAACAACAAGCACTGCAAGCAGGTGGGCTCCTGGAGGGGGCACAGGGGGTGTGGGGTTGGGGGGGGGCCACAGCAGGGCTGTGCTCCAGACCTCATCTCCTCCCCTTCCCTGCAGGACAACTGCCGCCTGACGCCCAATTCTGGGCAGGAGGATGCCGACAACGATGGCATTGGGGACCAGTGTGATGATGACGCCGATGGCGATGGCGTCAAGAACGTGGAGGTGGCTGCGCTGGTGGCTCTGGGAGGGCTTCTTCTTTTGGCTCAGTCCTGAGTCCCTCAGGATGTTTCTCCTGGGGAGCAGCAGGCTGGTGGCCCAGCATGCTGGAGGCGTCCTCTTACCCTGACCACCGGGGGACTGTGGCCTCTTGCCTGCAAGCCACCGCAGCACCAGCATCCCTGTCCTCTTCCCCACAGGACAACTGCCGGCTCTTTCCCAACAAAGACCAGCAGAACTCGGACACTGACTCCTTCGGGGATGCCTGTGACAACTGCCCCAATGTGCCCAACAACGACCAGCGGGACACGGACAGCAACGGCGAGGGGGACGCTTGCGACAACGACATCGATGGGGACGGTGAGTGGCTATTGGGGTGGCCCGGTTGTGCCAGGAGGGCTGTCCCAGTGGAGTTGGGGGAGGGCATCCACCACCCAGCGCTGTCCTTGCAGGGATTCCCAACATGCTGGATAACTGCCCCAAGGTGCCCAACCCTCTGCAGACGGACCGGGACGAGGACGGTGTTGGGGACGCCTGTGACAGTTGCCCTGAAATGAGCAACCCCACTCAGGTATGGCTGGGACAGGGGGCCTGAGGCAAGTGGGGCCTGGCCCAGTGGGGAGCAGGGGATCCTTCTTGCCCCTGGGGTGTCACTGAACTAGGGCTCTGGTCTCCTCCAGACAGATATGGACAGTGACCTGGTAGGAGACATCTGTGACACCAATGAGGACAGGTGGGGACGGCATTGCCACGGGGTCACCTCCCCGTCCTGTCCTGTCCTGTTCTGTCCCTGGGGGCAGAACTGGTTCAGGACCTGGCAGGGGGGATGACAGAGTCTTAAGGGCTCTTAAGGGATGTAGCGCCAGGTCCCCAGTTTTGGCACTGCTCTGACCTTGTTCTTGCTCCCAGCGACGGGGACGGGCATCAGGACACCAAAGACAACTGCGCCGAGATCCCCAACAGCTCCCAGCTGGACTCGGACAACGATGGGCTGGGGGATGACTGTGACAATGACGATGACAATGATGGCATCCCGGACTACGTGCCACCCGGCCCAGACAACTGCCGCCTCATTCCCAACCCCAACCAGAAGGACTCAGACGGTGAGTGCGTGTTGGGTGAGGGGAGGCAGAGCCACGTGGGCTCGGCCCGGCCCTGACTGGGCACGTGTCCCCAGGGAATGGCGTGGGCGACGTCTGCGAGGAGGACTTCGACAATGACACCGTGGTGGACCAGCTGGACGTGTGCCCCGAGAGCGCCGAGGTGACGCTCACCGACTTCCGCGCCTACCAGACCGTCATCCTCGACCCCGAGGGGGACGCCCAGATCGACCCCAACTGGGTTGTCCTCAACCAGGTGTGGGTGCTGTGCCCCGTGTTTCTGGGGGCTGCGCTGTGGGGTGGGAGCTGAGGGGGTGGGGAGGTCCCCGGAGGTGCTGGGGGTGCCCCTCACCCGGCTGTCGCCCACAGGGCATGGAGATCGTGCAGACCATGAACAGCGACCCGGGCTTGGCTGTGGGTAAGAGATACTCACCCACCCATAGGCCCTGGGGGCAGCCCCCCCTACTCCTGCCCCTCTGCGTGGGGGAGATGAGGGCCGGTTCTTTGCCCTACAGAGGGGTGAAGGGTGGGTGGGCTGGGGAATCCCACAGCGTTTCCCCCCCGTAGGCTACACGGCCTTCAACGGGGTGGACTTCGAGGGCACCTTCCACGTCAACACCGTCACCGACGATGACTACGCCGGCTTCATCTTCAGCTACCAGGACAGCGCCAGCTTCTACGTGGTGATGTGGAAGCAGACAGAGCAGACGTACTGGCAGGCTACCCCTTTCCGTGCTGTGGCTGAGCCAGGGCTGCAGCTCAAGGTGGGTGCTGGCCCCCCACGGGCCAGGTCAGGCCCCCCAACCCCCCCTCCCCTACCAGGTCCCCCCTGACTCTCCCTGTGCCCCCCAGGCAGTGAAGTCCTCGACGGGCCCCGGGGAGCACCTCCGCAACGCGCTGTGGCACACGGGCAACACGCCCGACCACGTCCGCCTGCTCTGGAAGGACCCCCGGAACGTCGGCTGGAGGGACAAGACGTCCTACCGCTGGCAGCTGGCACACAGGCCCCAGGTGGGCTACATCAGGTGAGTGGGGGGGGGCACCGGGGCTGCTGAGGTGGTAGGGGGGATGTGCTCACCACGGGGCAGGGTGGGGGTCCAGCCCTAGAGGGACCGCAGCAGTGGGGGAATGCTGATCACTGGGCGGAAAACAATCCTGGTGTGGTCCAGCCCTGGTGAGGATAATGATGACCATCAGTCAGGGTCCCGCCCTGTGCGACCACCCTAGTGAAAGGGTGCCATGTGGGGAGGGATCCAGCCCCGCGGGACCACCACAGCGGAGGGATGCCGACCGTGGGGAGGGGTCCTGGCCGGTGGGGCCGCGGGAGCGTTTCCCCTTTAAGGCTCCCGCCGGGGCGGCCGCGGCGGGGGGGCTCCGCCGCCGGGCCCTCCGCCCCCCGGGCCCCCGGGGCCATTGTCCCGTCGCCATGGCGACCCCGCCGGCGCCTTTCACATGCAAAGTGCCCGACAAAGGCGGCGGGGCCGGGCCGGGGGCGGCGCGGGGGGCTCCCGCCCGGCCACTGCGGGGGGCCCCGGCCCAGGGGTCCAGCCCGGTCCGGTGCCCCCGGCCCAGCCCCCTGCGGGATGGCCCGGCCCTAGCCCGGTACAGCCATCCCGGATCGGGATATCCTGTAGGGTCCGATGCTGGTCCTGGCGGGGTCCCAGGGGGGTCCTGGCGGGGTCCAGGTGCTGGCCCTGATGGGATCTCGGTGGGATCCCGATGCTGACCCCGGTGGGGTCCCGCTGACCGGTCGGGCCCCATTCCC